TAAATGGTTAATTCATTATAATTAATTAAATAATTAACCAATTATAATTTAATTATAAGATGTGTTATAATGTCTAATTTATAGATATATGAAGGATAAAAATGTAAATTTACAATAATATTGTTTTTTTTCAAAACAAAGGAAAATAATCCTCCCATTTATTTTCTTCCCTTTCCCAAACATAGGGTGGAAAATAAGAAAGGAAAATAAATAGTAAAATCAATCCGTATTTTTCTCCCTTATTTTCTTCCTCTCTTTTTTTCTTTCCTCTCTTTCCCTAACACAGTGTTAAGCAAATGTCAGATTTAATGTTCCATTTTTAACTAAATTTCATAAAATATCAAATATTAAGAAACTAATAGATTTGGTCAAAAATAAAATAAGAACATCCAAAATAACCTCAAACAACATGTCGCTGAACTGTTAAAATAAACGGCGTGACTAACTCTAAAAAAAGGAAACACTAAAAAAAAGAGAAAAATTGAAAAAAGAAAATACTGAAAAAAAGAAAACGCTGAAAAAAATGAAATGTTAAAAAAAAAAAAGAAATTCTGAAGAAAGGAAACGCTGAAAAAAAAAAAAGAAACCCTAAAAAAAATAAAAAAAGAAAACACAAGGAAACATGAAATCTATAAGAGCTATATACAATTTATGTAATTCAACAACGAGAATGACGATAGGCTATGATGATAATAACGACGGTAAATGCGATATATATGGTGTATATACTGTTTTAATAAAATAGTGTATATATATATATCAGTAAATACCGTAAAATCAATTAAATACATAATAGATATATATACATCAATTAATATATTAGATCAGTAAATACAGTGTCTATATATATATTGTATAAGTAAATATGGTGCATATATATATATATATATATATTCAGCACAATACAGTTGGTCTATGATATATATTGTATAAGTAAAATACTCCGGTGCATAATATATATATATATATAAAATATCATACTATACCAGTAAATACTGTAAAATCAATAAATATTAGAAGCGGACATATATATATTAATTAAATATTGGATCAAAACCAAATAAATACGTGGTATATATATATATATATACATATACGTATATATATATAATATATATGTAGTCTATAACAATCCAAACAAAAAAAATCGAAAAGATTAATAGTCGTTGTCTTTATAGAGCATAGACATATATATATATATTGTATCATTAACAATCCAAACAAAATCGAAAGTTATATCTTGTCTTTATAGAGCATAAACAACACCCATGGTGATAACAGTTTTTATGCAAAAATTGAATCACTGGTACGCTTATACAAAAATGAAATCGTAAAAGAGAAACAAAATCCAAAAAATAAAAAGAAACCGTTGAACAACACTGGTAATGAGAAGAACAATTGGCGACTGAAAATAACGAGAGCAAAAGGAGGAATAATAATAAGAAACTAATAGACAGCAACAAAATGAGAAAGAATGATACTGAAAATAATGGAGGGACAGTAGCAGAAAAAAAAAAGAAACTAAAAAAAATGATAATAAAATAGAAAATTAATAAAAAATGAAACACTAAGCAATTAAAACGTCAATTTACTAACAAACTAACGCCTAATAAATTAAAAAAAAAAGGGAATAAAGTAAAAATATACACTAACTGACAATAATTTAAATAGTAAAATCAAATTGACATCCTGTAAAAATAAATTTGAAAACGTGACATTTACTGCAAAATTTCAAAAGAAAAAAAAAGTCAACTTTGGCTTATTTGGGGATCGCAAAATGTCTTTTTATTAGCCACAAAAAGAAACGTAGGACCTACATGTTTTTGGCTCATCATGTTCGGTTTAACGTTGTACTACTTTGTGATTTCCATGGTCATTTGTTTGTAGGGTTTGAGGAGAAATCCATGGAATCAAAATAATGGAATTCAATTGATTCATTTAGTTGGGTTTAATTTGTTTTTTAAAATTTACTATTTGATTTTGATTTTAATAGAGGAGAATTGAAATTCTTATGATTTGATTCAATTTTTTTTATACAAAACGAAAATCAAAATATTATAAATTAAACTAATTAAATTATAATTGATGTCAAAATAAAAAAATCAACCGAAAAAATTTGATTCGATTTTGATTTAAATTTTTAATTTTTAGTAAAATTTGGTACGAAGAAGAGCCAGGCACTGCATTAAAGAATCTGGTCTATATAAATATTGTAATTACATTTTTGAGTTTCAGATTTTCCTTTGTAACTAGGGTTTCTTCACCTTCCAATCCGTCATCGAACGTCATTTTTGTGGCGAAGGAAGGATTTGACGACGTTGTTATAATTTTTATTTTTGAGGAATTAAAATACTTATAATATTAAAAATGTACTAAATATACTCAAGGAAGCTTCCTTTAAGTAGCTGAGTTGAAGGGACCATGATAATTAATAAAGTAATAATTGTTTGGAAAATCACTTTTAATTTTTTTTTCAACCAATCACATAATATCTGAAAAAACAAAAAAAGAAAATGAAAGACAAACCCAGTTCATATCACGATAGGATCATTTCTCCTTTCACACATGCCCATCAAAACCCATTTTTTATAATCCTTTTTATTTGTCTAAATAAATAATCATTTTTACAATGTTAAATTTGGTCGCCGCCAGCGCTACCCATCTGAGAATATATCCCTGCGATGAGGGAGTCACCCTATCATTGAGCCAAATGGGTGTTTGGCTGCCGCCGGCAACACCCACCTGAGAATATACGCCGGGGATAAGGCAGCCACAGTATCGTAGAAAGGAAGAGAAATCAGGCAACAATAAGAATACGTGTATATTACAGAAAACAGTACATGATTCAAATTTCAAAGCTAAATCAAACCAATACCTATTGAAATGTTATGCTAAAAGGTTGAAAATAAAGAAAGAAATACAAATAAAGCAAGAAATGGAATAAAAACAAACTACAAAGTCAGTCTGCAACATTAGCTACTTTTGGCGGCGAACTTTTTTTGAGACAGCTGGGCTTGTTGGCAGCTCCTCTGTAGAAGCAAGATGAGCAGAGAGAAGCTAAAGATTGAATCAATGAAGCAAAAACCATACTCTTAACTAATTTTCTCTTCTTTGGAAAAACACTTCCATTCTTGGACTTGACAAATGGCTCTATCCTCATCATCTCCATCTTCTTCTTCTGCTTCTCTCTCTCTCTCTCTCTCTCTTCTTCTGCTTCTCTCTCTCTCTCTCTCTCTCTCTCTCTCTCCCTCTCTTACTATTATGCTCTCTATTTTACTTGGGAATCTTTTACTTCCTTTTCCTTTTATTGTTATATAAAGGAACAAAATAAACTGCCAATAAAAAAGAAACTTCCTTTTGATTTTGCCACGTGGACTAGTAGACATCATGCTGTCATCAGGAAGCAATCTCTTTAAGCTAACATAATCCCCGCCAAACTTTAGGAGTAACCATTATTTCACGTATGCACTATAAGGATAATAATTAAACGTTGGATAATAGATATAAAAATAATTTAATTTGTTAAATTTATATATAATAAAAAAACTTTCTCGGTTTATTAAAGTTTTGTTGGACATCAATCAATCATGTGGTAGTTTGGTTGGTTTTTTCACTTATACGAGGATTAAGAGGTCTCGAATTCGAGTAATCTGGATTGCAGTTGCTTTTACCAATTTGGTAAGCTGCAGTGTTATTACGTTTATTAAATTTTTTAAATTAAACTAAAAAAGATTACATTTATTCAATTAAATCTGAATATTATAAATTGAAAAAATATTTACGTTTAAATTAATATAAATATTAGGATATGATTATAATAAAGTGAAATATTAAATTAAATATTTAATAAACTTTGTGGAAAGCAGAAGCATGTAGCTGGAAGTTATTAATTAACCAATAATATTACATTATGCACATAATTAACTAATTAGGAAATGGGTGATACTCAATGTCAAAAGAAAAAAGGAAATGGGAGATACTAATAAGGAAAGCTCTTGGATATTTCAAGTCAGTGAAATAACTATAATGTTAAGAAAATAAATAATTTTTATTAAGGAGAGAAACTTCTAAGAAGTAGGGAAAAGGCCAGAAATAAAAGAAAAGTCAATGAAATGATACATCAAATGCTCTATGCTCAAAAAAAAAAAAAATTATAACATAGATTTTGCTTGTAATATGATATGTAATGTAATAATAGATTTAACAGGCTATCAAAAATTCAGAAATAAAGAACTAATAATACTATTTAGTAGGGGTGGGCAGACACTGTGAAAATCACGACCCATTTTTTAAAATTGTTCGGAAATTTTCAATATTAATTTAATAGTTAAACTTTGAATTCTGTCCCCAAGGTAAACTTTGGGGTTGGACTTATTTTTAGATTAAAACCAACAGTATTGATTAAGGTTTGCATCCCGTCGTGTCCTAAAAATCGGGTATTATTAATAATAATGAGTTAAAATTTATAAAATTTATTAACAATTATTTTTGGTAAAAAAATAATTTAGTAAATCCTATGAAAAATTTTAATTAATTTCTCATCCGTTCATTCTGTTTAGTCCCGTAGATTCAAAATTTATCTTATTTTGCTTTATAAGATAAGACATAAAGCATAATAAGACGAGCCTACGTACATATTAGAACCGGATTGAAACTTCGTCTTTTATGTTGCAATATTTTAGGATGACATAAAAAATTATGCATCCCTGCTTTTTAGAATTTGAGGATGATAAAGAAGGGAGTTTTGCGTCTGCCACGTGCAAAGACAATCTTGAGCCCTTATTATATTTGTTCAGACCCATTTTATATATTGACAGATCAGTTTGGCTATGGACCAATGGCTGCTGCCTCCTAATCTTAACACATGTGCTTTAATCTTTATTAATTAATGTTTTGATTAATTTAAACGACATCAACAAATTAATGGATATTTCAAGAGCAAAGTGTATTTAGCAAAAAAAGAAAAGTACACAAAACATCATTAATCGAAGCAAAGAAAGTAGAAAATCAACGTTTTCTTTATCAGTACAAAACATAGAGACTTGATTGATACTAAATTAAGTATAATGACTTTAATTAATACTATTACATCAATCACTTCTTCTCCTATTCTTTTTCTTTCTTCCTCGTGTTTGATTTCAAGAAACCTGCTTCAACTTATAATTTATAAACCTCCTTAAAAACATCAAAACCAAAAAAAGGAAAAGTGAAACAGAGCTTTTTCTTTTTTGTTACCTCCAGAAATTAAAAGGGTATATATTTGATCCTTTTGAGCTTGCTTGTTACTTGTTCATACGACTGTTGCTAATCTCCTTCTTTTCTTTGGGTTTAGAGCTGAAAAGAGAGACAAAAGAATCAAACATCAACCTTTTCACTAACCTCCTCTTTTTAGGAAATACAGTTGCAGTTTGGGTCTTAGAGGGTTGGGTTTGGCTCTGCTTCTGCTCCATCTCTCTTTCTCGGTTTCTCCCTGTTTTGCTTTGTTTCTTGCTCCTTTGGCTTCTGCTCTGCTCTGTTTCTTGCTTCTTTAGTTAGTGCTTTGTTTGTCCAGTATCGCCAAAACCGCGTGGATGAAATGCATATCAGGTTAATTAATTATCTAGTCCTTGAATTTTGATCAAAGTTATTATCACATCCCTATTGTTGCATAAAATTATTGATTTCTTGTTCGAAAAGTGCTAATTTTAGTGCTAAGTGAGGGGATAATAATTTAAGCAAATGTGATTGAGTAAATAGTAATATTTTATATTGAAGTGAATTACCAAATAATTAAATATTATTGGACATTAACAATAAAAAAAACACTTTTGAACAGAAGTACTAAATAATTTAAATTGACAAGTTTTGTTAACATTCAACATTTTTTCATACTAATAATAGTTTATAAGATTTTTTACTTTTATATATAAAATATTGAATTAATGTATTGATTAATATAACTTTTGAAAAAAAAATAATTTTCACATTTTTAAATTATCCAATAAATATTTGATCTTTAAAATTTTATAAGTCGGAGCATTTAATAAAATAATTTATAACTTCAGATTTTTAAGAAAGAATAATTTATAAGTTAAAATATTCAATAGATCAACATAAAGTGAACCAATTTCCAGCATTAGAGGAGGATAATTCTGTAGATGACTCGGGTATGACTTTGCTGTGAGTCAAACATGTAATAGAATATTATTTTTGTTTGAGAGAGTAAATTGTGGATTGGCACTGTAATTGTTCATTTAATAACTTGGTGTTTGATAGGTATAAATAATTTAAAAAAAAAAAAAAAAAAATTTGCATAGCGTATAAATAATTTTAAAAAAAAAAAAAAAAAAAACTCAGAGTTTGATGTTTAAAATTTTATAAAAAAAAAAAAAAAAAAAACTCAGAGTTGATGTTAAATTTTATTATTGGAGGTTCAACAGAAGAACCAATGTTTTATTTCCAGAATTTATTATGCAAACGTAAATTTTAGACATTTTGAGAATTTATTTGACTTATAGGTTTGGTTTGATTAATTCATTGTGGAAAAGTTTTTACTTGTATTCAATTTTATTTTTAAATATTTATTGGATATATATAACAGATAAGTTTTTACTAAAGGTTTCCTTTAATTAATGAATTTTCCGCTAATTTTTTCAAATGTGGATTGATTAAATATTTTTTCTTTTGTATTTAAATATATCTTTTATGTAAATAAAATAGATCAGTACGTACCTCTAGCATAGGATATGACACTCATTATCTAGTAATTTAAGATCAGATATAGGGTGTTACACTTGTAAGATTTTTGTGAAAATTACATGATAAATTTATGCATTAGCCTCTCTTCTTTTCTTAATTACTTTGCTTTAACTTTTTAAGTGGCAAGAGTTCTTTAGCAACTAAAGAAGGGGAGAATTATGGAGACATAAAATCTATCTAAAAATGTATATTAAATTAGCAAGGGAGCACTCCCTTTCTTTCAAAATCTAAAATCTAAAAACTCTCTTTTCTTCTTCAACGGGCCGCCGCCGGTGAGTTTTCACTGGGGGGTCATCTCTCTCCCTTTTTGTTTGCTTTTTGCAAATAATCCTCATATCTGTATATAGATCTAACTTATTGTGGCCCAAATATTGAAATTTATTATTGCTCATATCTCGGGATTTTGTTCTTGAATTTAGTTCTGAATTATTATTATCACCATTATGGTGATTTTGTCTAGCGTCTTTTATTATTTGGAAAGTTATACAGAAAAAAAATGCGTATCTCATCTCCAATAGAAAGAAAAAATTTGAAGGCAAACAAATCAGACTTGTAGAAAGATAATGGAGTCGAACAATGGCCATGAATAACCACCAAATGGAGCAAGCGATCGCTTATAGTACAAATATTAAAGTTTCTACATAAAAATATAAAAATAAATTGATCTGTATCTCATATCTGTATACAATTTGTACTTAATTAAATTTTTAGTTTGATTTACAAAATTTCAATATATAGGCAACAATAGATCCCAATACACGAGCAACAATAACTCAGATCTGCAAACATATTTGAGGTTTATTTGCAAAAAACCAAATAAGAAAAGGAAAGGTGGCTGCCCGTGGAAAAAGAGAAGATAGGTTTTAGATTTTCAGAGAAAGAGAGAGCGAGAGAAAGGGGTATGTGTCAAAGCTTTTATGACTACTTGTTTAGTTTTTAGTATAATCTTTGTGATTTTATTGGTTAATTAATTTCCAATATATATAAACTAAAATTTATGCAATTTTCAAATTCAAGGTCTTATCCCAGTGGCAGGATAGCCCTACCTCTAACTTTCTTTTCATTTTAACCTTATAAAGTAGTGAAAGAATTTTTTATTTTAATTTGGCTTTTTTAAAAAAAAAAAATTCTTTCGCATTGAATTTTTAGTGGAAAATACATTCAGAGTGTGTTTGGATGGAATGAAAGAAAATATTGACGGAAAATATAAAAGAATTTTTTCTTTGATATTTTGATATTTGAAAAATAAGAAGGAAAATAATTTTATGAATAATAAAATTATAAGTTTTACGTTTACTTTTTTTAAAAAAAAATTTACAATAAAGTCGGTTAAATTTGTCATTTTAATTATTTTTCTCTAATTCTTTTTTCAATTGGACAGGAAGTAGCATATAGGCCCCATAATTTATTTATGGACAAAACTTTTATCATTTTTTGTTTAATTTCTCTCACCTAATTCTTTTTTTCCTCATGAACTATTTTTATTATCAATACTTTCTTTTTCAGACTGATGGACCCACACTCCCACTAATCAAATCCTATTTCAAGATATTCCTAATATATAGAGTCCCAACAGACCGTCTGCATTAGACAGAACAAATATACAATAAAATATTTAATCTAAATTATCCTATCATATTATTAATTTGACAATGTTTAATGTATATAAGGATAAATTAGAAAAAAAATTCATTAATTATTTCTTAATAATCTCAAATTGACTTATAATTGTGGATAAAAAGATACTCTTAGATGACTTAAATGGTACTCCCTTTGTTTTTTAATACATGTTGTTTTAGGATTTTTTTTTTTTTTTGGTTTCTAGATGAGTGACCTTTTCTTTTGTGATTTACCCTTTTATCATTAGTAATATTAATAATTAGTAATATTAATAGTACATGTTAAACTTAAACTCCATCTTAAATTTACTTAAATCACGTAAATTATGGGTTTTATAGTTTTTTAACCTATATTTTTATTAAAATTTAATGTATTTATTACTCTGTTTAATTCGTGTGTAAAAACTCTAAACAGACACATGTAAAAAAAAGAGAGGGAGCAGCAAAAGAGAGAGTATTTAATTGTAATAATGGTTGTACAATAGATCCAAATTAAAGTGATGATCCAATCAATCCACCATTCATATCTTACTTTGGTAAGTGCTCCCATCATAACTTTCTAAAATAATAATAATAATAATAATCATGATAATAAATCACGTCAAATTTTACAAATCATAATTTTATAAGATTAAAAAAAATGATTGAATCACTTGAATTATAGAAAAAAAAAACAAAAATAATTGATTAAATTACTTTTAATTAATGCTCATTTAATTGAGATAAAATTTTACTGTAAATATCTGGATAAAAATAAAGTTGAAATAAATAATTTTTACTATTTCAATTTTTAAAAATATCGTCTAAATAAAAAAAAAATCAAAAATCAAAATATCAAATTTAACCGACCGGATGGAGTAATAGATTAGAAGATCAAGGCAGTTGAAAAATCAAACATGAATGAGATGAGATACTGTTTTCTTTATGTTATATGTTGCATAATGCTTGAACATGCAGCTATTGTCAAGGGTCCCACCTACATTGTGTCAAATCTTTATGAACTTGCATACAAATTATGATTATTATTCCTATTCTAACGGTTCCTTTTGACTAAAACCAATCTTTTATATTATTAGTAAAGACTTATGCATCACTCCAATTTCTTTTTTTTTTTTTTTTTTCATCACTCCAATTTTCTTTTTTTTTTTTTTTTTTTTACCATAATCAATGATTTTATTCAAACCAAAAAAAAGTCATTTTATTATTGGTTCAATTAAATTTTCAATTTTTTTTTTTTTTTTTTTTTTACCATAATCAATTGATTTTATTCAACCAAAAAAGTGATTTTATATATTGGTCAATTAATTTTCAATTTATATATAGATATACACATTATTTTATTTGCCAGAATACTTGTAGAATGTATATTTATTTTTATTTTTCTTGAATCTAAAATTTTATATTTATTTAAGTTGGATATAATGCGATTTAACGTAATAAAAGATGTAATACAACGAAAAATGCATTGTAAAAAAATGTAATTAACATTCTATTATTATGTTTAGTTATAGTTGGATAAATTTATGGACCGTAATCAACATTCCATTTTTATGTTTATTTATAAATACACGATATAATTAACAAACTAATACCATAACCACCACCACAATCACCACTTAGTGATGGTGGTGGTGACGGAGTAGTGGTGGAGGTGATAGTGAACGGTAAGGTCCAAGGTGGACTATAGTATGGTTAAACTTTTTAAATATTATCATGTAATGACAATTACAAAGATTTTGGGATGCAATGACCGTTACATTATTTTAAGCATTGATAAATACAATTATAATAATCATTACATTACATAATAAGAAAAAAATTCATATAAACATCACAATCAAATTTGTAATGCAATCTTCATTCTATCATATAGTTGATTACATTCAAGTAAACATGACCTTAGTTTTTAGATTTCTCCATTGACCAGAATTATCGAATTTGATGTTATCAGTGAAATAACTTACCGGTAAATATCCATCTCTACACCAAGTCAATTGTTAATATTATTTAATTATTTAATGTAAACAAGCATTTAGATGACAATTAACTATTAATTTATAATACATAGTATATAGATAAATATTTTCCATCATGAAATGAAATTCATTTAGAAATATTTTCCATTTTTTCTTTTCACTTTTTGCCTATA